ATGTGGGACGGCATTATCTCCCTTGCTTTAGTAAAGGATGGTCCAGTGTATTCTCTGCTAAAGGATATAAGAAAGGAAGCATTGAACACCTTTCCTTTCGAGAATTCAAACAGCTCTTATCATGGCTGCCACTGAAATACTTCCATTTCCCTCAGTTAGGAACCTTCTGAAGCAAAAAAGACTTCGACCAGACCCTAGATCAGCATTGATGAGAAATAGAACTTTGCTATTACTAACCAATGTTGGTACAAATTTACAACAGTAAGTGGCCTAGTTGTTCCACTTAGTTGGATGTAATCTGAACCTTTTCAACTGTGAAGGCCAACTGTTGTAAAATTGATCATGCTATATAAATTAAATGTCTACCATAAGACATTAGTTTAAAATCATGTGTGATCTACTGTAGACATACTGTGCTATTTTGCACATTCCTGCACAAATTGTACAGCTTCCATATTGTACATTATTATTGTCAGTTTTCTATGTTTCTATTTATGCTTCATGACTTGCAGTAGTTGTTTTCATTTTTATTTATATTTTTCTTGTTCTGTGTTATGCAGTAATACAGCAAGGAAAAATTGCTTGTGAAAACCTATTTGGCAATAAACCTGATTCTGAATGAACTATTTCACCAGAAACTGTCCAGATGTAATTAACACCATGCTGAGATATGATCACAGTGCAAGTGAGCCAGACGTGATGATCCAGATGTGATGGCAATGTGTATATTTAAACATTGTGTTTTTCCTTATTTAGAGAAGTTATCTTGATACCAGGTGGTCATTAACATTTGACTCATGTGCTTCTAGTAATTAATCCCCTTCAGTTCATGTTTTATTTTTCCAGTTGTCTGCTTTGTCACATCCAACTTTTGTCCCAGTTGTGCTTACTTTTTGAGAGTTTGTCTTATTTTGGGGCTTGTCCCACTAGCTGTTTTTCATTATGGGACATTGATACATTGCATATATGCCATATATACAAATAAAACTGACATGGCTTCCATATAAAATAAAACTCTAAGGAAGTCTGAGTGCTGCGATGATAAAAAGGATGTAATTTACTGGATAGTTTTTGAATCTTTGTTACAGTTTAACATCTGTTTCTCTCTTTCTCTGTCTTTAGTAACCCCAATAACCTCAGAAACATGTTGTGATGTGTAAAACTGCAGCAGACTACTAGAGCGGTTGTATTTTGAGATTGTGTTCCAGCTCTGTACATTTGTCATTGTGTTTTCTCTTGTTTAGAGGACATTTAGGCATCTATAGTACAGCGTGAGTCCAAAATCAGTGGATCACTACTGTCCCAGTGTGGCCAAAGATGATTACTACACAGTACTAATGCATAAATGCAATGCATACATGTAATAATAATAATAATAATAATAATAATAATAATAAACTTTATTTCTATAGTGCCTCTCAAAACGAGAGTTATAAGGTGCTAAGATGTAAAATTAAATTAAACAGAAATGTTAATGATCAAACATAGAGAGATAAAACAACAAAAGATAAAAGAACAATAAATAAAGAACATTATTCACTGGTGTTAAAATTCTGGTGTTGGGCTGTTTCAGAGTATCTGGCAGAATCAACTCTCCACTAGTGTGAAAACATCAGAGTGTTGGTGTAAAATCACGGAGTTGACCGACGGTATTTAACACTGATGAGTGACACTTTCAACATCCGGGCACTTGGACAGGTAACCCGTTGAGGAATTTGAAAGCAGCCATTTTCTTTCACTCGCATGGAGCATGAGAAGGAGAGACTGGTGAGTAAAATGTAATAAATTAGTCGTTGTGCCATTGCTACTTTTATTAAAATGTGTTTATGCTGATTCGTTGTTTCTAAATATGGAGACAGATTAAACTTTATTGGCATTTCTAACAAGGTTTCGTCGCCGTTTCTTTGCTGGTAACGCTAAGTAGACATGCACATGCAGACCCTTAGCCTCATTTCATTTCTTTATGGGCTAACGTTAAACTAAACTCCTTACTAAAATGTAGCTTTTAGCAGTTTGGGATAAGTAACGTTAACGTTAGACAGTAATTTTAACTTTTCTCCGAACGGAGTATCAACTGTCACGGTCGTGTCCCGGTGTTTCAAAAATCGCGCGCTATCGTTTTATTACCGTTAAGCACTTAATAGCTTGTAATTGAGTAAACTGTTTGTTGGAGAATAAGCGTTAACTTTTATTAGTTTGTGCTTGTTGTAGCGTTTTAAATATGACCACACGAATGTTAACATTTATTATTAGCTTTCAACTGCACCTCCTGGAAATGTCTAAATTCATTGTCATTTCATTATGAGAAATGTAAGGAAGTTTACAGAAAATCAATAATGTTGGTTTAGAACAGTTAATTTCATTGAGCTGTAAATGTTGTTA